GGGCGCCCCGCCAACCCGCTCGGGGTGGGGCGATTTTTTTTGCCATCTCTATTTAGGATCAAGAAATAAGTAAATTCATACACAATTAAGTCCAAGTAGTTGAAATTCAAAGAAATGAAATTTCGCCAATTATTTAATTATTTAATGAAGTCTTTTTTTTTTTTTTAAATAAGTTTTGGTGGTTGAAATAATATTTTTCATTTTCTATTTTAAATTCATTATCTTTTCCGATTACTTTAAATTTTTAAAAATGATTGATTATAATGTTTCATCTCTTTCAAATTTATAATCTTATATAATTACATTGAAAATTTAAAGAAGATTGAGATAATGTTCTTTTAAATTCATTATATTATTTAATTAATTTAAAATTTTAAAGATGGTTTAGATAAGTTTTCGATTTTGTCTATTTTAAATTCAATATCTTATTTAATTAGATTGAAATTTTAAAGATGTCTAGATAATATTTTTGAGTATTTTTCTTTTATATTTTGGTCTTATTTAATTAATTTGACTTTTTATGGTGATTAAGATAATGTTTTTTGTTATTTTAAATTCACGACCTTACAATTTGGGACATTACAATTTGGTATTAAATATAGGGTCTACCTTTCCTCAGGCTTGTTAATATTTATATGTACATGTGTTCGTGAAATATGTATTTATGAATAAATATTAATTAATAAAATAATGTGAAGTCATATTCATTGTAAACAGTCGTCACTTTTCATGGTGAAGTGAACTTTGACGTAAGAACAATGACCACACACACTGTTCACCACGAACCATTGTAATTAAATAGGAAAAGAAACAAAATTATTAAATGTTAAAATTCGATGTTTATTTTAAAACGTCACCATTGGAAAAAATGTGGGAATTAAATCTAGCCAATTTTCAAAGTATATGAAAAGGTTTCGAAAAGTTTACGAACACAAATATGAACTTCATTTTTGAATGTTGTTCAAAGATGATGATGATGATGATGGTAGGGTATTTAATGCTAAATTTTAAAAGTTGTTATTTGTGTCAAAGCTTATTGTGCAGCAAAAAAAACAAAAACATGCATATATGTATCTATGATATACTGTAGTATTTTAACCTCATGATAAACATTGATTCGATTTTTTTTTTTTTTTGCTGAAAATTGTTGGTCTCATGTATTGATGTCATGAAAATGTAAACTTGTAACCCATCAGTGCAGAGAGTTTGTCGACATAAATATGTTTCAGCAGTGATGCAAACCCACGTAATAATTGTAGTTATGAAACTCACGACAGATTAGATCAAATCCAAGCATTAAACGTTTGAAAGCTCAACCCAATAAATTATGGGGTACTTACAAAAATACCCTTAAAATTAGGGATGTTTTGAAAAATCATATGAAAAGTTTTTAGGAACTAAAAAATATTGTTTAAATTGAAAAAGTGACACAATGTCACTTTTTTAAATAAAAATTGTCACTTTTTTTAATTTTGTAAAAAAATGATACAAACACAAAAAAAGTGACAAATACCAAAATAGCACAATCCATTTGGACAGTATCAGTAATCACGTTCTTAAAATAATCACCACATTCAGGCCAATCGACATACTGATTATGTTAGGAAAATATAACATATTATTTCACTTTTTTTATCTTCTTAAAAAATGATAAAAACTTAAAATGTGACGAAAACCTAAAAAGGTGACAGAATTTTAAAAAGTGACACAATGTCATTT